AGCTCCTCAAACATAACATTCCATCTCTGGTTTCCTTGCCTTTACACTGGAATACTTTGCATCTTCACTTCTGCCTCCTGGATTCTTGGGCTTCAAGACTCAGTTCAAGTTGTCCTTATGTAGGAGACCTTTCCCGGTTTCTCCCAACTATTAATGACTTCCCTCCGTGACAGATGCAATCCGAAATAAACCAAGGAAATAAAAGTTCAAGCTTCCATGTATACTGATTTATTAAGCAATGCATGCCAACTGCATAATAAATTGAGACCAGGCCTCCTCAGCTTGGCACTAGACCCCGAATACAGGGGGAAATAGATTTTTATGCACTAAAATAAAACAATACAAGGGTATAAACCAGGATACAAGATTAGGTATTCTGATTTCTAACTGGAGGAAAGATTAAGGCTTTCCAAGTTGGGAGGAGGAAAACAAACAGGTGAAATTCCCTGAAATCAGAAAAAGAGATGTCCCACTTTCCCCATGTTTCTGAATTCAATCAAAGGAGCATGAAAACATTAACTGATTGATCAGTATGGAGCCAGTTTTCAAACAAAACATATGGGTTGCTTGAGATGGATAATTGTGAGAAAACTCCTCGCATCAATCTTTGGATCTGACTGGGTTTCTGGTCAGCATAATCTAAGTTCTCAGTCAAGAGTCTCTAACCAACAGGAAGAGGTAGTCCAGCTTCCCAGCTATGGCAGGGCTGGGTTCAAACAATGCAATAAAATTTTCTCACAATTCACATAATTGAAAGAAATTTTCTCACAAGACAGAAATTGGACTAGACCCCATCATCAAATAGAAAGGGAACTAAGCTCGTTCCAGAATTGAGTCACAAAATGGAGTTAGTGTGGTTCACTCAATTCCTACAACTCCCTCACCTCAAAGATTGGCTTCTTCCCATCTATCTGTCTTACATACACCAAGTTATTTACATGTTTTCTCCCCACTAGAAAGTGAGCTTCTTGAGAGCAGGGATTGTTTTTGCCTTTCTTTGTATCCCCAACACTTAGCACAGTGCCTGGCACATAGTAAATGCTTAATAAATGCTAACCAACTGACTAGTAAGTCCTAGTTAGCCAGTCATCTTGGAAGCTGCCTCAGTCACTGAAAACAATTAGGAGTTGTCTGTGTCCCCTGAAGGTGCTCATGTCCATGCTCTATGGAGGAAAAATATGCTCAAATTGACTCCCATGAAATCTCTCCCTACCCCCATACATGCACATATATGTTCTAGAATTTTGACTGGAGCAGAAGTCAACTTCACTGGCCTATATTTTGCAGACTCTAGTCTCTTCTCTTTAGAAAATTGGAAGGGTTGTAAAATTGTGCATACCCTTTGATCCAGCAATACCGCTACTAGGTCTGTATCCCAAAGAGATCATACAAAAGGGAAAAGGACCCACATGTACAAAAATCTTTATAGCAGCTCTTTTTGTGGTGGCAAAGAGTTGGAAATTGAGGGGATGCCCATCAATTGGGGAATGGCTGAACAAGTTATGGTATATAAATGTAATGGAATACTAACACTGTTCCATAAGAAATGATGAGCAGATGGATTTCTGAAAAACCGGGAAAGACTTGCATGAACCAATACTGAGTGAAGTGAACCAGGAAAACACTGTACACAGTAACAGCAACATTGTTCAATGGCTGATTTTGATAGACTTAGCTCTTCTTAGCAATGCAATGATCTAAGACAATTCCAAAAGACTCATGATGGAAAATGCTATCTACATCCAGAGAAACAACTATAGAGTCTGAATGCAGATCAAAGCATACTATTCTCTCTTTTGTTTTTTGTTTTTCCTTTCTTGTGGTTTCCCCTTTTGTTCTGATTCTTCATTCATAATATGACTAATGTGGAGGTATGTTTAATACGATTATACATGTATAGCCTATATTAGATTGCATGCTGTCTTGGGGAGGTGGGAGAGGAGAGAGGGGAAAAATTTAGAATTCAAAATCTTATGAAAGTGAATGTTGAAAACTAAAAACAAATAAACTAATTTAATTTAAAAAAAGAAATGGTAAAAAAAAAAAGAAAAGAAAAGAAAGAAAATTTGGACCTTTACCTTCATTTCTGTGGTATGTCTCCCATTCATTGTTATCTTTCATTTCCTTCACAGTCATTTGCTAGTATTCCCAGTTCAGTGGCCCCCCATTATGGAACATTCCTTCGCAACAAAGGAAAATCATTAAGCAAAACCAACTGATAAGATCTCAGTTTATACAACATTCCACTCCTATCCTCCTGTACCTCTCCACTGACAGAATTAAAAGTCTCTTCTCTAGGACTCTTAAGATGGATCATTGTTCAGTTTCCTTTTAATGTTATTTTAATTTACAATATTAGAGTCATTGTGTATAGTCTACTGGTGCTTCTTACTTCACTCAACATCAATTCATTCAAGTCTTCCTAGGTTTCTCTGACTTCTTCATAGTTGTCATTTATTATCATGTAATCGTTTTCCATTTCTTTCATGACACAATTTGTTCAGCCATTTCCCAATTACAGTAAGCATTTATAAAGCACGTTACATGTGTTATCTCATTTGGTCCTTACAACAACCCTGTGAGGTAGAAGCTCCTATTCTCCCTGTTTTAAAGATGTGGAAACTGTCTAAGGCAAGATTTGAACTCAGGTCTTCCTGACTCCAAGTTCTATTAAATAATGCAAGATGTTATTATGTCTATCCACTAAGTACCTCACTGCCCCAATTGATATATGTTCATTTTCCTAATTTTTGCTACCACACAACAAAGTGCTGCTATGAACATTTTGGTATATTTGGGACATTTCTTTCTGTGTTACTTCTTCAGGCACATGAGCAAAAGTGTGACCTTTGAGTCAAAGGTTCAGCCACTAAAGTGATATTCCTAAAATGAAGATCTGATTATGTCATCCCCTCTACTCAACAAACTCCAGTGACTTCCTATTGTCCCCAGGAGCAAATACAAAATGCTCTGTATGGCATTCAAAGTTCTTCATGACCTAATCTTTCTCTACCTTTCCAGTCTTCTTACATATTACTCCCTGACATGTACTCTTCCAACCAGTGACACTGGCCTCCTAGCTGTTCCACGAACAAGGCACTCCATCTCTCTGCTCTGGGGTATTTTCTCTTAACTGCCTCCCATGCCTGGAACACTCTCCCTCCTCCATTCCAACTTCTGACCTCCCTGGTTTGCTTTAAATCCCAATTAAAATCCTATCTTCTATAGAAAGCTTTCCCCAATGCCTCTTAATTCCAGTGCCTTCCCTGTTTTTTATTTCCTCTTTATCCTGTATATAGCTTGCTTTGTTTATATTTGTTTGCATGTTGTCTTCCCTATTAGATTGTAAGCTCCTTGAGGGCAGGGACCATCTTTTGCCTCTTTTTGTATCCCCAGAACTTAGCACAGTGCTTGGCACATAGCAGGTGCTTAATAAATGTTTAGTGAATGAACAAACTTTTCTTGAATAATTCCAACAGTGCATCATTAGTGTATGTCTTCCCACAGCCCTTTTAACACTGTTAATCTCCATCTTTTATGATCAATATTTCCTCTGAGGAGGCTTAAAGTTGTAGGCAGAAAGCCAGTCTTAGAGTCAGAAGGTTCAGTAGCCAGGGTTCAAATGCTGCCTCTGACACATAGGCAAGTCACTTAAACCCTCAGTGCTCCCAGTAATTTTCTAAGACTTTGGGTTTATAGAGAAGTTGCTGACCCACATCAGTAGAGGGAGTTTCCACACCAGGAGTTCCCCACAATAGTGAAATTACAAATCCATACCAAAACCAGATAATCATTCTTGCTAATTTGATGGGTTTGAAGTGAAACCCAAATACCTTGTATTTCTTTTACTATTAGTAACATGACCTTTTTTTCTCCATCTAGGATCATAGATTTAGAACTTTGATGTCATTCAGGCCAACTCCCTCATTGTAATAACTTTATAGACATATATAAATATATATGTAAATATACATCATATATTATCAAATATATAAAACAACTTAAATGGAATTTATATAGTACTTTAAAGTCTGCAAAGCCATATATTATCTTATTTGATCCTCACAACAACCCTATGAGGTAGATGCTATTATTCTCTCCAGGGTTACCCAGGTAGTTAAGTGACAAGAGCTGGGATTTGAACCCAAATCCCCTGACTCAATCCAGCATCTTTTCCATCTTACTATGATGCATATAATTGGTAATAATGTGCATTTTCTCTTTTGAAAATTGTCCACATCCTTTGACCACTTTTTTTTCACAATAACCCTGTGAGGTAGGTACAATTGCTATCTTCATTTTACAAATGAGGAAATTGAGGTTTAGAGAGCCTAAATGACTCTTTCTATATCACACAGCCAGTAAGTGTCTTAAGTGGGATTTGAACCCGAGTCTTCCTGACTCCCATTCCAATCCAGCACCCTTCTAGAGCCATAGTCAGTCTTAATGTGATAAATCGCATCCGAGATATGTCTGAGATAAAATCCGAGGACAGAAGGGAGGAAGGGAGGAAGGGAGGAAGGGAGGAAGGGAGGAAGGGAGG